TAATAAATAGATTATAACCTTTCAATCACGCTGTATATATGCACAACTGACACATGAAACTACGGGGAAGTATGGTGGATGTGTAACCAATGTAAAAATAGAATACTGTTTGTTGTATAATTAGCATTGGGGATACAATCTTCCAAAGCATATGAGTATTTATAAACGACGTTATTTTTTAACATACGGGTATTTTTGATTGCTGAATTACTTGGAACTATTAGATAAGTCTTTTCGAATTCGTTATAGTAAATGCCTAATCTAATGTATTTGTAAGAATCGTTAATTGTTTTTATAAATCGATGAATAATATTTTTATTGTTTTTTTCATCTTATGTTAATTGCTTACGTCATCAGCTGTTCTGGCGGGCTTCAACTTCAAATAATGTTCGGCGTACTTTATTTAGACTCTGTAGCCGGACCGGACAGTGATTTCTTCAAGAAACGGAGGTGAAATTTTGAACTCTACCATTAAACACTTTTTTTTAAATAAGTCCCTTGGATGGGGAGGGTGGTGGACTTCATCGGGCTGATTTTGTTATGTGGGTTCAACTGCACATGCGCACAAGGGAAGGATGCTGGGAATTCTAAATTTATTATTTTTTTTATCAAGCCGATTTAATTAAGTTTTTTTTTTTTCTTTCCATTACTTTTCTTAGTAGATATTCCACGCAGTGATTATAGGAATTCTGCCAGGAATGGTGAAAGGTTGTAAGACCTTGGACGCAAATTTACTGTAGATGACCTTGCGATTTAGAAATTTTCGTCGTAGTGAATTGTTTTCTTCTTTGATCAGAGTACCATATATGTATATATATATGTATGTGTGTGTGTGTGTGTGTGTGTGTGTGTGTGAAAATATATAAAAAATAGGAAAGGACTCGTTAGGTAAATAATCCAAAGTTCTTTAGTATTTTTGCTATTATTTTTAAAAAACAGTGCTCGATACAAAAGTAGAGCCTAAATATAATTATTTATTTAAATGGAATCATATTTTAAATAAATAATGATATATATATATATATATATATATATATATATATATATATATATATATATATATATATATAAATTAAATTTAGGTGTTATCCTAAATTTTCCCTGCTACTCGTAGTTTCATGCGTGACACAACAGTTCACGCAAAATTGTCTTAATAATGCTTTTCAATGTTATTTAATATTGTCAATTTGTTAGGCATGGGTATATAATATAAAAAAATATTTAATGTTTTTGGGGTTGAGGCAAAATATTACGGTAAAAAAATTACATATATAGAAATCACTCGCAGACAGTACTGTTTCGCTGCATCACAGCGAATAAGCGTAACCAGGCATCCGAATGCCTCAAGCTAGGATTGAAACCAAACAGATTTGGCATCAGTTAGAGTTTCTACTACTGAACTATCTTCATTCGACAGAGTGAGCGAGGTAGCTAAATCTTGCGTATTGTTTTTACGAATGTAAACAAGTGCCATTTTACTGAAGAGCTTTACATTAGCGCAAGTGGCTGTTGTTTAGAGAATTACCTTGTTATTCAACAGTCCTCACTTGAAATATATTTTCAAGAGCTAAATTATGTCATTCATTATATTAAATACAAAATATACGTGAAAGACACCAGTATCGCAAAGATTATTGTACTCAAAATATATAGAAAACAAATCCGAAGCTAATATATAGAAAAATATATAAAAAATAATGAACTGTTCATTTTCTTTCTTTCTTTCTTTCTTTCTTTCTATCTTCTATCTATCTATCTATCTATCTATCTATCTATGTCTGTTCATTTTCTTTCTATCTATCTATCTATCTATCTATCTATCTATGTCTGTTCATTATCTATCTATCTGTGTGTGTGTGTGTGTACGTGTGTGTGTGTGTGTGTGTGGATTATTTTGGAAAAACTAGTATTCTTATCGACAGCCGAAATATCTAAACAAAATTCGACTTATTTCGATTTTTCAATCATGAATGTTGATTTTCCCCAGTCTATCATGTAAATTTGGTCAGTAAAAGCGATTCCTTCTCCCACCTTTTTCTAAAATGTATCTTTCCAAAGTCTGGTTCCGCACGGACGATTATCAAATGTCTAAACCGTTTCATTGAATCGCAATCCAACTGACCGATTTTGAACTGGAAAAAAAAAAATTCTTAAACCAAAAAAGAGAAGTGAAATTCTTTTGAGGACGTCGATACGCATTTCCTACTCAAAATATAGCGGCCCACTCGTCGAGGTGAACATTTTGAAGAAATCGTGACTAAAGCTGAATTTTGATGGGCTACGCTTCATCCATTACGCATTCGGGTCTCTTACTTGGCCTGCTCAAACCGCTGATAATTTCGCGTGATAAATCAGGCAAACATGGATAAAAGGAATGTTTTTCCCATGATACCGCTTTTTTTTTTTACTACCTTCAATCCCGGGGCAATATTATTTTAAAAAAGCAATGTTTAGAATTGTAATAAAACTTAAATAATAAATAATAAACACTATTTATTTATTAGATTGTTTATTTACACTGTTGTAATGGCAAATATATACAGGTGTAGCTTTTAACAAAGCTTTATTCAACTGACAACACAAAGTTCGCGTATAGTTACCTTTTATAG